CCCAATCCTCCCCCCCAATGAGCCCAAGGGGGCCCCTAGGGGCCCCCCAAAGGAGCCCAAGGGGGCCCCTAGGGGCCCCCCTAAGTACGCTCAAGGGTACCTCCGGGGTTGTATGAGGTGCGGTTGTGTTGTTAGTTGAGGAGGGAGCCTAGAGTTTATTTTTGGGGTTCTTTCTTTCTGGGTGGAGGACATACTGCAGATAAAGTTTGTATGAATCAGAGACGTCCTGCTCGTTGAGCTCTTCTATCTTTGTTGAGTCAAATAATGCGCGATAGACGTCCCCGTCGTACCTAAGACACATATCAACCCTAAACCCTAAACCCTAAACCCTAAACCCGAACCGAACCGTAGGCCCAAAACACTAAACCACAAGCCGCAAACCTTAAGCCCTTAAGCCCAAACACTAAACCATAGACCCAAATTCTAATCATCAAACCTTAAACCCCAAACCTTCAAGCCTAAACCCCTAACCCTAAACCCTAGTTGACCTCCAAACCCCAGCCCCTACACCATATACCCTTAACCATCAACCCCAAAGCTTAGACCCTTAGCCCCAGGTCCCCAATCCTAAACCCTAAACCCTAAACCCTAAACCCTAATGGACCTTCCGAGGGCGGAGTTGAGGAAGTTGTCGGAATGGCCGAATGCATCTGCAACGGGGACTGCAGTTGTTCTTGCTTGTTTGCATGCAGCAGCAAGTGTCTCCTTGATATTATTATGCGCATCTAGATGAATAGTTTGTGTGGTAAGGAAGTCTGCTAAGTGTTCATCTAGCCAGGAGAGGGCGAGGCAACTGAAGAGACACCCGAGAATGCGGTGTACAGACACCTGGCCCTGCTGCTGCAGCTCCTCTAGACGTGCTGCAGCAGCACGGAGCACTAACAATTGAGCATGAGAGACAGCAACCTGAGTTAAATTCACTTTTATCTCTTCAAAGGCCTCTGGAGACGAGGGGCCCCCAAGCGCAGCAAAACGCTCTGCCGCACGGTATACCATCACAGAGGACCTACACACAAACAGCAGCAGCAGCAGCAGCAACAGCAGCAGCAGCAACAGCACGATCTGCATCAGTAGCAGCAGCAACACGAGCTGCAGCAACAGCAGCAGCAGGAGATAGGGGTTTGTGCTTCTTTATTCTCACCTCCTTTCGAAGGCCTGAACAATCCACTGAGGAGACAAAAGCTCTTCTGTCGAGGGCTGCTGCGGTTTAGAGACAGTCTCCAAGTCGCAGGTGTACAGATGACGCACAGAAGAAGTTAAGGCCCCACGGGGTGTCTCCCCAGCCATTCGCTGTCCAACGACTTTCAGCAGCAGCCTCCCCGCTTGAAGAGATAAAATAATAAAGTCTCCCTGTACATACACCCCAAACACAAAACAAACATGCACACAAATAAAGACATGCTGCTGCTGCTGCTGCTGCTGACAATACCCATGTTGGTGCTGCTGCTCCTAGTGCTGGTGCTGTGTTGCTGCTGGAGTTGTCGTTGTTCCGGGTCCCCGTTTCTGCTGCTTTTATTGCTGCTGCTGCGTCTGCTGGTGCTGCTGCTCCCTTTGCTGCTGCTGCTGCGTTTGCTGCTGTTGTTGCTAGTACTGTTGATTTGAGGTGTAGGTTGTGTATGTGCGGATGCATGCAGATATGGATGCATTTGGGGTGTATGTGTGTGTTATTGGGTGGGGTTGTACCTCATAGGTGACTTGAGGCAGGAAGCTAACGAGGTGTAAGGAGACACCCGACGCCTGTAAATAACCATGACCTCCACAAGCTCTTCTGCATCTCTCCATGCCTTCTGCTGCAGCAAGAGTCATATAAGCCTTTAAACAACTCGTAACTAAGTGTAGCTCTTCTAACCGCTCAAAGTTATTCTGCTCCGCCTCAGCCTGCAGCAGCAGCAAACGCAGCAGCAGCAGCAGCAAACGCAGCAGCAAGCGCAGCAGCAGCAAACGCAGCAGCAAAATGAAACACAACTAAAAACACATCAACACAAAACAACAACAAAGAGAGAAGACAGCAACCAAAAGATACGAACACCCTCCAATTCAGGCCTGATCGATAGGGTTTAGGGTCTAGGGTTTAGAGTTTAGGGTTTAGGGTTTAGCTCCTTGGCGGTGCGGCCTATCTATCCCCCTTCGGGTTTAAATCGAGGCAATAGATATTCCCAACGGAGGCTAAAGTGCGGAGTTAGTGTCTAGTGTTCAATGCTTAGCGATTAGGGTTTAGGGTTTAGGGTTTAGGGTTTAGGGTTTAGGACCTTGAATGCGTGGTAGAGTTTGTCAGTCCATCTGCCGGCGTGAATAAAGGCAATCGACATCCCTAATAAGGGCATGAGGGTTCTTTGCGTGGTGCTGTAAGAAAGTATTTGCTGCTCTACACCCTCAGGAGACCCTGGAGCAGCAAACTGTCTCCGCACAGCAGAGTAACTGCAGCAGCAGCAGCAACAGCAGCAGCAACAGCAGCAGCAGCAACAGCAGGAGGAACAGGAGCGTTGGAAGACAGGCGATAACGCATAATTGTGGGGGTCACAGTAGCACCAGCAACAGGGGCAGCAGCAGCAGCAGGATGTAGCAGAGCGGGAGCAGGTGCAGGAACAGGAGCAGCAGCATCTGCAGCAGCAACAGCATCTACAGCAACAGCAGCATCTACAGCAGCAGAAGCAGCAGCATCTTCAGCAGCAGCCGCAACTGCAGCAGCAGCCGCATCTGCAGCAGCATCAACCACAT